GGGGCGGAGCCATGACGTCACGGCTCGCTCCGCCCATTTGACATCCTCAGCTGTCAACTGCTACATATTGCAGTCATATATATCAAATGCTTCTATACTAAAAGTACAGAGGCTATGGTGTAGTGGGTAGAGGTACAGGCACAATTGCCATTGTGAAGTTCGCTGGTTCAAGTCCAGCCAAGGGAGAGTTAAGTTTTTTTGTTTTTTTTTCATAAACAAATTTCGGCAGGACTACTGCTAACGAATTTCGTCCGAAACTAATTTAATTTCGGACCCGAAAAACGAAACTAAACAAATTTTTTGCTGGTGCACATGTCTAGGTGAGGCTGAATAAAGACCAATGTCCATCCAGTTGTGTGTGTGTGCGTGTGTGTGCGTGTGCGTGCGTGTGTGTGCGTGTGTGTGCGCGTGTGTGCGCGTGTCTGTATTTAACACATCTATATCCCTGTATATTTAGTGACTGAAAGAACTCATCTAGAAGTTTCTAGAACTTATATTCGGTATCAGTGGATACCACACTTTTACTACTAGCACAGTAAAAAAAAAAACTTGCACGTTTGAAGATTGACCCCCCCCTTCTCTTCTAACTTGTTGTGTCCACCTGTTCTCAGTACTGTTCTCGGTGAAAACAACAATATTGTGGTCCCCATTCATGATTTTGAAGACTGCAATAAGGTCCCCTCTTAATCACCTCTTTTCTAAGGAGGATACATTTAATTGTTGGAGGCGGTCTCCATAAATATCACTTCACCCTAACTCCAGTTACATTATTTAATACCACATCTACGTGTGAATGGAGAGTGTTATATCCAGTCCCAATGCATTTCGCATATTGCTTCCTCAGGGGATCATGGATTAATCACCCTATTATGGTAACTGAAGAGGGACAGAGATTCCTAGACCGAGTGGGGATGGGGATATAGGTCCACCAACCCAACTACTCTGTCCAAAGTTGCCTTGGGGACCCTGGGGCCATAAGTAGAGGAGCGTCAAAGATCAGAAAGTGGGGAGGCCCGCCTATAATCTGTCAGAGCTACATGGATGAAATGCTTAAGCAACTTAATGGCCAGCATCCAAAGCTGTTCGTATTACTGGTAATGTGGCACGCGCTGGTCCAGATCCAGACGCTGGCTTTGGCGGGGCATCGTGAACCTGCAATATCAGGTTTGGAATACGAACAGCTTTGGATATTGATACAGATTATAGGTGGGCCTCCCCCCCCTTTCTGATCTTGGACGCTCCACTACTTATGGCCCCAGGGTACCCGAGGCAACATTGGACGGAGTAGTTGGGTTGGTGGACCTATATCCCTGTCCCCACTCGGTCTAGGAATCTCTGTCCCTCTTCAGTTACCATAATAGTGTGATTAATCCAGGATCCCCTGAGGAAGCAATATGCGAAACGCGTTGGGACTGGATAAAACACTCTCCATTTGCACGTAGATGTGGTATTAAATAATGTAACTGGAGTTATGGGGAAGTTATATTTATGGCATATATGCTCTTGACAATAGGAATGGTGCTATTGTTTAGTTAAATTGCTATACATATGATTTTATACTATTTATTCAGTGTACAATAGACTTTATATTTTTTATAAAAATGTATCCATGCAGTGATTGTATACCTCTCTTTAAACCCTTGTTTTCTACTTGTTGCAATTGCTTAAGAGTTAAGAGTAACTCTCAAGAAACCACCCATCCCCTCCCCCCGGGCATCCCCATTCACCTGGCAGCTAGCTTCTGCAGTCGACAGGTGAATGTAAGCAGCCGGGAGCAATAGCCCCCCTTCTATTGGCTAATCAAATAGCAATAGCCAATAGTAGGCTGGCTATTTCACCTGCCCACTGAGCAGAGGAGTGGATAGAGATAAATGTCTCTCTCAGGTCTGCTCCTCTGCTCAGTGGGTGGGTGCAATAGCCAGCCTGCTATTGGCTATTGCAATTTGAAATAGCAGGTTGACTATTGACACCCTGCCGACTCAGCAGGGGAGCAGAGCTGAGAGTTTTCGCTCAGGTCTGCTCCATTGCTCAGTGGACGAGTATAATAGCCAGCCTGCTGTTGGGTATTGCAATTTGAAATAGCCAATAGCAGGCTTGCTTGTGCTCCCCATTGTTTACATTCTGCTGCCGACAGTGGAATCTAGCCACTACCCGGCATCAAGATGTAAACAAAGAATTTCATTAGAAAGTAAATTTAGTTGCTAACGAAAAACATTTTTTGCTGGTTGCTTGAATGCCAGATAATGGGGAGTTTACTGTATATTGAAATATGTTGATCTAGGGAATAGATTCAACTGCTTCTAGAGGAGTCTGAAAGAATGTTTATCCTTACCATATGGAAAAATTGATGACAGTTGCCCAGTGGTTTTTGTTTTGCCCTCCTTTAAAAGCAAAACTGCAGAAGTTGTGATAAAATTGACTTGATGAATAGGATAAACTTAACCTGTTTTTTAAACTTTATCAACAATTTAACTTGTTATTTATATGATAAATGCAGTTGCACTCAGGCGTGGTGCTAGACTATTTTGCGCCCTAGGCAAGACTCCGCCGGGCTTCCTCACCCTCTGCTGGCATGCTGCAAGTGCAGTGGTTAATCCCTCTACAGCAGGGGTCTCAAACTCAATTAACTCGGGGGTCACTCAACAAATGATTTTCTCCCATGGGGGCCGCTTGATACATTTCATGCCTTAAAATAAAATTTAACTATATCCGGTTTGGTACTACGGACACTAATACACACACAATAAAGCCCCATTCAAAACTGTAGGTTTAGGTGCGATTAGGGATTCCTGTGTCAGGAACTTGCGTTTTCCTGCAGCAGGAATAACTAATCTGGTGTTTACAAGCGGCAGCTGTCACCCGTTCAAGTTAATGATCAGGTGAAAGCAGCTCCATGTAAATGACTGCCAACTGCATGTAATGGTAAGTGATATGATTACATTTGGTTAGGAATCAATTACTATACCCAGACGCATCGATTGTGCATCCAGGGAGAGTGTTTTCTAACTGCATGTAATAATATCACATACCATTACATGCAGTGGGTAGGCGTTTACATTCAGCTGCTGTCACCTCATAATTAACTTGAACGGGTGACAGCTGCCTCTTGTAAACGTCAGATTAGGGATTCCTACTGTAGGATTCCTACTAAAAACGCAAGTTTCTGACGCAGGAATCCCTAAGTGCACCTAAAATATAGCTATTAATGTAGCCTAATACCCCCCCCCCCCCTCCATAC